GAGAGGAGAGGTTGAGTCGTGATAGCAAACGATATGCTGGGAATCAGTTACCAGCATGTGAGCCTGTCCCCATGTGAAAAAAAAGGATGATGCATTACCCAAGTTGAAAAGCCTGACAGCCAAACACTCGGGGAGGAAACCGACTGTGACGATGTGGGGGAAAGATTCCAAAAAGGGTTTTAAGAGCGAGTGGCAGATTTGAGAGGGCGCTGCAGTGCGAATCAGCTGAACAGAGGTTGAAAAAGACATGTTTAAAGTAATCTAACTGCACAAAGAGGATATTTACTGGATAATGAGTGGGCATTGAAAATGTGTCTTTTCAAAAGAAGCAGCTAAATCAAAGAGGTTCAGGACGACTCAATGACCCCTAATGGATACTTTGGTGGACTGGAAGCTCAGAGGAAGTTGGAGGAGGTGAAGATTTCCCCCGGTGTGACCATAGACTGTATTTAAAGCTGGACGACGCGTCTCTACTTCCTCCCACTATCTGAAACGAAGCCTTCCTGCACATCTGGAGCCAGAGTCTGCACTCGAGGGACGGAGCCATGGTAGCGATTTCCCATTGATACATGTCAGTCTCAGCTGTCAATCAAGACATGTCACCCTGTGTGTATAGCAAAAACATCAGTGTGACTGTAACTACCTAAATTGACAAACCATTTTTAAGAAGAATTTATTTGCCTATTTAGTTTGGTCCATGCCCTATCCATTAACATGGAGGAGGCAGGATTTATGTTGTGATCCAGGTGCTTTGGCTTCACTTTTGGGGACCACGTCGAATCGCCTATCTTTATTAACAACTATGGGCGCAAACCATGTTTTCAATATTTGCTGAAATTGTTGTTACAACGTTGAAGCCTGTGTGTCAGTGATTTGTTTCCCCTTCCGTTTCAATTCAAGGCCTCCTGTTCACGCAGCAGTGTTAGCATGGATGTGAATGATGGCTAAAGGTTTCACATATGTCTCTGAGACAGCCGTGCAAGTGCAGTAAATCTGTTTTGATCAATAAGCGACTGCCCTCGCTCACCAAAGACATTAAATTTGTTTATTACAATAGCACACATAGCCTGGCTAGCATTAGTGTTGTGTGAACAAGAATAATGACTCTGAATTGGCCCTTTAACATACAGCACAGCTTGTTCATAGATCTATATTAAGAATAAGCATGTGGAGAAAAATCATCCATGACATTACAGTACATCACATGGGTAATATCTGCCGAGGCCTGCTCTTACATCACACACATTACCCTCGACCTACGCGCTATGTTTGTGCTGATCTTGGGGACTAAGCGATCAATGAAGCAATGACCGCAAGGCTGTGTTACGACAATGAACATCTCAATTAAAATCACATGGTCTGCTAACTGACTCCATCCATCACTCTCTTCCCCCCGGTAACCTAAATAAGGCTGAGCCAGCTCCACTCTGGTCAAACGCAATTTATATTCATCTGCGGCACAGGCTGTGTAAGATAACTTCATACGCTGTGTTTATGGAGAAATGGATCCATTGAAGTGGAAATTGTCAAATGAATGACTGGTAATTGGTTTTATAATTATGCCTCCGCAGCGAGGACGATGACGTTATGTTTCAGGGTTGTCCATCTGTCTGTCCCAGTATCAAGAATGCAATATCTTGATACTGGGACTGTAAAAAAAAAATAAAACGACTTTCTTCAAATTTGGCATATGCGTGCATTTGGAGGCAATGAACTGATTTTGGTGGTGAAAGTCTCTGTGGCCTCGTGTCATGCTCTTCCTACCATAACTCGTCAATTACTGTGAACCTGGAGACCAATTTATACAATAATTGTGACTAAATATCATATGAAAAAATGATTTAGAGATATTTTATATTCAAAAAGAAACAAAAGTTAACTTCATTGTGACAATAAGTAAGTAAGTAAGTCTTCACTACATATGATTACATCATAGGTGCACATTAGTCTGGACAGATTTAATTTAAACAGCAGCTTGGTAGACACTGCTCATACAACTACAAGTTGGGAATTCTAGTTAAATACAGTATCATGCTTTTTTGCTGACATGGTCAATATAGGTCAGATGAGCGAAACAATATTTAGCTTATCGGAACTGAAATTGGATTGTTGTGTGCCTTCCCCCAACCAGTGCAGTTTCCGTGATTTTTTTTGTACAGATTCATCTGAGGTCACCGCGACCTTTACTTTTGACCATTGTGATCAAATCAGGTAATCTTGTGTGACAACTGATCAAAAGTTGAAGAAATTCCCCCAAGGCGGTCATAAGATGTCACATTCCACTGTGGCTTTGCCCCTTCACTCAGCCCTCCATCTTAATAAATAATGAATTAAACTTTTTTTTTTTTGAGTCCAGGTGAACATGTGTGGCAAATTCGAAAGAACTGCCTTATTGAGGTATCGCATTCACAAAAATGGTGACGTCCGACAACCTGCAAACATAAATAAAGCCACTTTTAATCACTGAACTTATATACTTATATATTTACTGTATAATCAACATACTGTTGCTACAACCATGTTTACTCCTATATTCCATTCGTCTAGTTTCCAAGCTTCAGGCGTCAAACTAATATTATTCTAACAATGTGGTCAATAATAAAGACTCTGTTTCTCAACCTCAGCACATGTACAGTAATTGACCTCGGTCCAAAGGGAAATATGTCCAGCCTTGTATTTAACGTGTTCAATAATAAATGGGGACTGACATGGACATTAAACATCCTAATTTTGCACACAAGGCTACAACGCACCATAAGGCAATACAACATTTATTTTTTAATCAATCATGGCTTTGAGGGCACTAAAGGACAAAAATCCCTACTGAATGTTCACTAATCATGTTATCACCGTGTGGGACCTGCAACGCGACGTAAACGACCCATCCGTCGCTATGGAAACAAAGGGTATACTTCCTCTGGCACATACAGTAGATGGATTTCTCCAAGCTTGGTATCTCCCAAGAGCATATATTTGTAAGTATGATTGGAGAGCTGAATCTATGTAGCTTTAAAAAGGGCAGTGACTTCTATAGCCGTCTCCCATCCTCCCCACTTGTTCTCTCTGTGTTTAAGGTCAAGGAGAATGTGGCAAAGTAGGCCATTGCTTTCCAGAGACCATCCTTTCCTTTAACTGATAAGTCCTTTCTTACAAAACGCGAGAAGGAGAGAAAAATAATGTACGTCTCGCATGTGCAAAAGTACGTTGGAAATCATTAGCGTGTTCATGTCGCACCTCTCTGGGGCTCGACACCATCTCACTCACACGGCGTGACAATCAACAAGCTCCTCGAAAGCGAAGCTCAGCTAAGGCAGGAAAGAGAGGGGAGCCGCTGGAGGCAGGGGTGTCGATGTGCGCTGCCAGTGGAGTCACATCATCGCTGCAGCTCACCAGTATAAACAAGCCATGCGTGAACGAGAATAAACCATCACAACACAGTCCGCATGGCATAAGTAAGTAATGCTTATCACCAGTGTGATGCATACCAGTGATGTTTGCCAGTGATCAGAGCACCAGCCACTGCTCTTAACCCTTTATCCCTTGGTGAGCCCTTCATGGAGTAATCTGTCAGTAATCCACTATAATCCACGATTAATCTCGTTAAACCCTTTGATTGACTATCTGCCTTATCAAGCTCTTGGTGCATGCACACTGAACAAGAGGGAAAACTAAATCTATTATCCACTTGCAGCATGATACAGGTTGTATTGCAGCGTGTGCGTTCACTGTGTGCAACAACCTCCACTTATTCTTTTCTTTAATTGGAGGGGGGGTTGTTCAGGAAGATTTTGCATCTGCATACAGCTCTACATCATTACCCTGTGTGGTGGCAGAGCGTGAAGCAAGATATTGTTTTTACCCCTGTCCGTGTGTGTGTACAAAATAAAAGCGCAAGGATGGATTTTCAACAAACTTGGTGGGAATATTACTTGGGAGGGTATCACACATTTTCCACCATATATCTGCGATTAATAGAGCTAGAGAGTCAAGCTGAAGCTTATATTGACCAGAAAAATATTTCTAATCAAATGGTGTCATGTTTAAAAGGGATGAGAAAACACAAGGGAGTCAGAAAATGATATCATGCATAATTCTAATGCATTTTTTAGATATATCTGCATCCTACTGGACTACAGAAATGAAATATATATGTAGATAGAAAAAAATATAGATAGAAAAATAATTGCTGCTCATATGGTAGGAATGATCTCACCATGAAGTCAGAAAATGACATCATATAGTGCAGTAATGCAACCATAACAGAGACGAGATCTACAGCTTTAGTATATTAACCAACCATTAATCCTCATATGGTCTAAATTACATATTGACATCATTATGAAATGGCACACAATGGAATATAAAACAATCTTTTTATATATACATACAAGTAGCACTGTCTGATTTGTATATACAGTTCACCCAAGGTGTATTGTTCCTTAAATGCTTTTCATTTCTGACTGTTTTTTACTGTGATACAAATAATCAATCATCAATCAAGCTTTACTTGTATAGTCCATATTCACAAATCACAATTTCCCGCATAGGGCTCAACAAGTTGCAACACTGACTGCAAATTCTGTGCTGAAACAGAACTGACCTTTAAGACAAAGCTGGTTTTTTTTACAGCCGTTGCAGAGGAAGATTCATGAGTCAAGAGTCATGATTTCACTCTGCTTCCAGTCAGTCTGTCCCTGTTCGATATCATCCAAACATGCAAAAAATGACAATAAATAATTCAAGCCCTACTGGAGAACTTCACAATTCTCAAGCGAGGTCTGCAGGCGTCAATGTACACGAAAGTTAAATACAGCGAGGCAGTGAGGGTGTGCGAGTGCTCCAACAGATGATGATGGAGCATTTTATCCAAACATGAGTAAAGTGGAGAACTTTGCTGCTGAACTCCCGAGAGGGTAAAACAAACAGCTCAGCAGATTAAAGAGAACCAACCGCACGTGGAAAGTGAAATCTGCATCTCAAAGTCCGACCGGGAGTCTTACCGGTGTTGAGCGTGCCCGTGATGAGTCTGAACAGGTACTGTGCGAACTTGAAGATCTCTCGCTTGCACCTTTTCCTGCAGCTCATCTTTGCTCCTTGGGGAGAGGGGGGGCTTGAAAAGGTCAGGACTCTGATTTCAGGGTTTTCAAAGAAAACAAAAAAGAAATCCAGTGATGCCTTTTATTTCAAAAAGGGAAAATCCCCGCTGGTGCAATTGTCGTCTTGTTCTCTCCTCCGCTCCCTCTGGCTGTCACAGCGTGGCCCTCACGTCTGGCAGGAGTGATGAGCATGTGCGGCTGAATGTGTATCCGTGGATCCAGGATAAGCTCTATCTGATCAACGCAGGGATGGTGCTATTAATATTTGCTTACCGGCCGTTCACCTCCTGCTCTTTGAGGAAAGGTGGTGAGGGGCTTCTCTCAGTCCCTTTAACCTTCCTCCCAACACTCTTTCTTCTTCTCAGGACTTTTCCTGTCACTCCTCTGGAGCCAACACTCTCCTCTTCCTCCCTCTGCGTTACTACAGATCACACACGCTGGCTTCACAATACAGTGGTGATCCAGCGAGCCTCTCCCCCCTCTCCCTAAGACACACAAACAAACACACACACTCCCACACTTGATCTCGTAGTGCGCCTGCTGCTCGCTCTACTCAGCACCATCTGTGGATGTTTTACCCTCGCTTACGGTTGCCATGGAGGTGTGGCCTGATTGGCCCGAGAGGAGGAGGAAGAGGAGGAGAAGAGAGATAGATAACACATACACATGAGGAGGAGGAGGAGGAGGAGAAACAAAGGGGAATTAAGGGGAAAGTGCCCACCTCAATGAATCAGAAGTGACAGTACATTATGGCTCATGTGTAATTGAATGTTATAACAATGGGGGACGTTAACGACCTGTGGTAACGCTCCACTGTTGGGTCATGACACACACATGAGGACGTGACAAATGTGCTGTATAGATTTTTGAAAACAGAAGGAAGACGGAGTGAAAAAGCGACGGAGTGAGTGAGATTTTCTCTGAAGAAATGTCAAGGTCGGTGTTAATAATGACTGACGGGCTTCTCCCGGTATCTGCGATGACGTGAGGATGAGCCAAGTGCATCATCTTCACCGCTAATTAGCCGGCGCAGCGCCTCGATTGCACTCATCTATCAATGCCAAAGTCGTCCCGAATGAAAAGCCGGTCATTAACTCAAACCTTAGGCCGCTTCCATTCGTAGTGCTGCGGTGAATTTGCTGGGGAAACATTGATAGGGTTTTTTTTTTCCTCCCTTCTCATTATTACACATCCATCAGGCCGACAGGTGCAAGGTATGAAATGAGATTGGACTTGTATAAATCGGCTCTGAAAGCCGGGCTGAGATTCTACAGGTCACTCCGCAGAGAGGCAGGTCTATTTTGGTGAATCCTGCTCAGTGTAGAGTATCTGCAGACTCTGACCTTGGAGTTCTTGTCAGTGTGTTATACGCACACACACACACTCTCTCTCTCTCTCTTGACGGGAAAGAGCAGCGAGGGGATTGTTCAACAGGCGGGAATAAAAAAAAAAAAAAGGAGTTGTCTTGAAGGTAAGATAAAGATTTCAAGGACTTGACGTGTTGTGAGAAACTTCTTTCTGGGTCAGAGTAGAGAACTAGTGCAGTGTCTCAATTGGGTGAATAATTTACAAGGTACCTGTGGGGCGCAGCAGTGTCTCTGCGACCTGAGTTGCTTTCACAGATACTGGAAGGGGACGAGTCACAAGTATTTAAAAGAACAAGCTTGGAAAAGATAAAATATAAAAGCCCTGCTCCCCCTTGGACCATGTAGTTTTTAATGAATAACTGAGGAGTTAACTTTGCAGTTTTTTCATACATATTGGTTTTAGCCAGGGGCAGTAGAGTTTGTTGGCTGAAATGATGACTATCACTATCACAGACATCAATAACAGCATTTATGTTTGCCAATATTTTGCGATGTGATTTTTCTTTTACATAATAAACAATGTAGAAAAAGATTATTTGTATCTACATTTCACATGGACCAAATGTCTATTTTCTGAACTCAAGTCTTCAGTACATATATTGGTTGTGTTTGTAATTCATTTATAATAAGGTTTATGGGTGAACTGTATAATATCAGGGTTTGATTATGACATCTAAGGAGTTATAGCAAATATTTCGGCGTTGTAAATACTAAAAACAGAGCTTAAATACAAAACTAAAAGGGCAAAGCTACAGCTGGAAAATTAGAATCTTCAATAAGATAATGCATGCATGAAGCTGTTTTGCATTTCCTGCCGTTTCAAGCTTGTTAGCCCTAATATTATTTTTACAAAAGTAAAATGTGAAGATAAGACAGTTATTTTGTACTGATATAACCATTTGTAGATTATGAAACACAGCTTGGCTTTGTGAAGCAATGCAGCAACAGCTTTAAGAAGCTGTGAAGCTTCTTTAGCCATGATCACATGTTCAAGTCTTTCTTTTAAAGGAATGGCAGCTCCAGTTGTTGCCACAGACAGCTCTACAGACTGTATCAGGATACACATGCAATCCCCAAGTGTGCACTTGAGTCAGTGCACAAATGCATGCACACTTACATTTAGTCCAGTACCACCCACTCTCTGACCCCCGAGAACACTTAACATCTGTGCAACTCCATCGCCTGTCACCTAGACCCTTGTTTCCATTTCTGCTCATGTTTCCGATAAACAAACGCACCCCTCAAGTCTCTGCGACTTCCATAGAGGCTCCTGGGAGCAGCGTCATCATGAGTTAAATGAGGTTTGTCACCTCACTACCTCTGAGGTGAGCAGATGGCCTGCTGCTCACTTGAGCGAATGACAAGTGAGCAGCAGGACACTGACCGAACACCGCGTACACGCCGCTGCAGGTAAACACTGCACTTGAACTAAAAGTCGTATTTTTTTTTTTCTTCCAACAAGTAAGTCAGGCCTTCCCCGACCACTCGTGAGCGGGAAGTGTGATGTGCGAGACAAATCGCCACATTCCAAGTCCATATACAGTCAGGAAAAACTCCCGACACGAGTCATGTTTACCTTGATGAGTATGGTCAAGGCAAAAAGCAGTATGGAGGCTGAGGTCACATCAGGGTACAAGACAAAACATGTCTGTCATGTTTGTATGACGGTGTAGAGAGTAGCTCCTTAAACATTTTACAGGGAGTAAACCAGGTAGGATGAACATAAAGTGGAGGACTCACTAATGACAGGGACTAATCCTGAATTTGCTCCAGTGACACAGGAGAAGCAAACATACATTCCAAACAGGCAGGTAAAGAACAGGAACTGCACTAACTGAATCAATACTGTGGAAATGTTTTTTATTCATATAAAAAAACTTAGTAAAAGTAGCTCATTTTGAAGTTACACCCTTATATCTGCTGTCTATAGGGTCCTATTCAAACACTTTCAAACACACAATCATTATTTCGACATCAGAGACAGACGCGGCCGATGAGCATCAAAGTGTTGTCCAAGTACTCGTAGCCTTGACGCACAATGATTTGGCGAGACACTCGGTACTAAGTACCCTTGAGTCAACCAGACGAGTTTACTGGATGAAGTGTGAACTGGTTTCACCTCCACTCCTGTCAGCTAAAATCAAACTTATATAATATTAACACCATCGACTTAGCTTTACAGCCTCCTTTAAAAGTTGGGTTCAGTTGAAGGGAACAGACACAAAGTGAGTGGGAGCTTCAGGTGCTTTGGATGTTTTTTAAATTTTACAAGCAGAAAACAACAGAGAGCAAATTATGCATCGTGTTTCGCTTGAGCACAAATGTTTCAAATCAGAGTCCGAGACAGACCTTGAGTTTGTGTATCCCCAAAGCTTTTCCAGAATTTGATGGAACATGAGCTTTTTGTGTAGCACCCAGCAGCAATGACATGAAAAAGGCTCCACTGAGGGAGAGGTTGACAGATATATTGATCCATCTAGAAAACAATGACTGCAGGTGCCTAAGGCTGAGAGCCACCATTTCCACCTGGAGCTGTTTTCCCCCTACTGCGTTAAATCAGCTTGGTCGACCGGAAAGCAGCAGAGAGGAGCTTGTCATCAAAAATTGTCGAGGACAATTTACAACCAAAGACATCTCTTGCAAGATTTATGCATGCAAAACAGCCGTAAAACGTCTGCCATTACACACACAGGCTGCGAGTTAGAAAGTGCCAGCTAGATCTGCTGTCACACAAACCACATCATGAGGAGACAAATGTAAACCACTCTCAGGATCTTTCAAGTCCCCGATACGTCTCCCTCAGGGAAGCAGGTCAGAAAGCAGGAGCTTGTGGGAGAGTGGCCACTACATTGAACATTAAGAGCTGAGCCACAATCCATAAAGTGCCCATCTGCAGTGAAGTGTACTTCACTGTGTCTGATAACTGCTGAACGCATTACACATTATAGGCTGCTGACGATATCCAGAAAAAGGTCCTGACAAAAATCTGATATCCCTACATTGGCAGATTAAAAGTGCAAATGATTTCTGCAGTGGTTCCTTGTTTTTATCAGCATCATGTTATTTCCATGAAACTTTGTGGAGGGGTGTGACACGAGTCAAGGTATAAAAGCCATTATATTCCGGAGTGGAATATGCAAACATATCCAGGAATTTCTCTTTCCCAAAAGACTGAAAGACAGGTATTGGTACATGCTCTCTTAGTTTAACATGTAAAATAAATTTTTCATATCAGCGAATATCAGCAGACATAAATGCCGATACTGATAAGTCTACAAAAGACTCATATCAGCTGAAAGGGGTTGGGCTTGGCTACAAGAAATAACAAAGGATAAATTGTTCAAACTTTTGGATTTTTTTTGTCGCCCAGAGGACAGGACGTGCTAATAGTTTGTGCTGGTATTGCGTGAATGTGAGAAAATAATCTTTATCCACTCATTAACCCACCGCTAAAAATAATTAGTGTAGGTTATTGCTGTGTCATGAATTATTAAGTCTTGATATTGCTGACACTGATTCTACTTTCTAATTAATATAAATGAGTTGCCGTAAATTAACACTTCTACGATTTGCATCTTGGGTGAAACAGACATGACGGATCAATGGAGATGATTAAACTGTTGTTTCCACAAAATAACAAACCTCATTAACAGCAGAGGAACAGTGGACCTCTTTAAACTCTACAGGTGCGGTATCTGCCGGCCGCGGTTTGACGAGCTGCGAGCAGAACGTCTTCCAGTACCTGATCACTGAACAACAGCGTGCACAGAGATTAGCCATATCTGCGGTGTTCAGCACCTGCAGCCGGCTGAGCCGAGTCTTGGTAAATGGAGCAAACGCCAACATGCCGTCAGCGAAGAATGACGACTTCTCAGGGAATGGACGTCAAAGTGCAGAAGATACAGGTGTTTTTACTTCATATGTGGCGTTACATATATACTATACTATACTACTCTGAACATGCAATACTAGACTTAATGAAGGAGCAAATCAGGATTCTTTTAATAGGCAATTATTTTCTATAAAGTATCAGAAATTAGTAAAATGGTTTTGTCTAACCAATTATTCAGACCGAATAGATTAAAGAAAAAGATAATTAAAAAGATTAAAGAGAAACCATGACGTCCACAGACAAATTCCCACATTTGCTTCATCAGCATTCCTGAGCA